CCCCCCCCCCCCCCCCCCAATTCTAGTACGCCCCTTGTGTTGAGACTACCCGCCTGGAGGCTTTCTTTGGAGCTGAAGCCGGAAAAGGGGCCGAATACTTTAAGGCGAAGGTAGGCAACCCGTTTGAAATCCGTAGCACCATACTTTGATGTCGGCATGCGCTTCATCAGTGAAACGCTGGCCAATAACCCGACCTGGATTAGTCCACTTGGTGGTCTCATCCGGTCGGGCTCCCTCAATGGACTTCTGAAGGAAGTTGCGAGGACGGGCGACACCGGCGGACTGAGATGGAAGGGCAAGGCCAGCAAATGGGGAGCGTTGCCACCAGAGATGTGCGTGCTAATGCTCAATCGATGTGGTTCGCATCTCTCGGAGCAGGTCTTGAATAAGGAAGACGTACTACGAACCCTCTTTCACACGCAGCTCTTGGTGGCAAAGTGTGCATTTATGCCGAGTCGATCAGACGTTCGCTATCAATCTGCATTGGTCAAGTTTGCGAAGGCCCGGATGGAGGAGGTTGGACGCAACCGCATAGCCGCAACAAGCTCGACGGAAGCCCAACCCGAAGCCCGAACCCCGAACCTGGACCAACTCCCCCGAGCAAACTAGCAAGACCCACGACCCTGCAACTTATGAGCCTCAGCCTTAATCCCGATGGTGAAGGAATAACCCGAAACTTTACGACCCTAAATTGTAATTTCCAAAGTCTCTGACCTAAACCTTAAGCCCCAAATCCTAAATCCTATGCTACCTGTCAGGGCTTTTCATCATACTTGTAGTATAGCATAAGTATACTCAAAGTCTTATTTCATTTATCCAGGCCCTACATTACGTGGTTCCGCCGAGGCTCAGGGAGTCAGTGCAGGCCTACTACGACGAGGTTGGCGTTGAGCGTGTTGCGGGGGCTCAGGTAGTAGGCTATTTAGGGCTTCTAGGGTTGTAGTAAGGAGGTTGAGGGTACAGGGTTTAGGGTTTTACTGGGTTCAGGGTTTAATTTAAGTTACCATAATGAAGAAAACTTATTATCATTATCATTTGCTATAGAGCCCTATTCTTGTTATGGCAACTTAAACTAAGTTCCTTAACAAGAACCCAGTTTAGGGTTTAGGGTCGTGTGAGTTTCCAGAGTGTGGGGGCCTCGGGACTAGGGTTGAGGGTATAGGTGTTCCCTAAACCCTGAACCCTTAACCCTAAACCCTAAACCCTTAACCCTCAACCCTCAACCCTAAACCCTAAACCCTCAACCCTAAACCCTAAACACCAAACCCTAATGTGTACCAGCGAAAGAGGTTAGTTTGAGGCTCTTTGGAGTTTAGGGTGCTGGAAACACCAAGACACCGTAGCTCAACGAGATTCAGGTATATTCCTGAATGAGGGGTGTGTACGGGTTTTAATAGGTCTGTGTGCGGTTTGATGGGGTCTATGTAAGGGCTTTATCGGTTTGAGAAAATACCCTAAACCCTAAACCCTAAACCCTAAACCCTAAACCCTAAACCCTAAACCCTAAACCTTAGCCGAGGGCTCTTAAAGGCCTGAAGAACTAGCAACCCAAAGCCTGAAACCCTAAACCCTAAACCCTAAACCCTAAACCCTAAACCCTAAACCCTAAACCCTAAACCCTATACCCTAAACCCTAAACCCTAAAATGCTATCCCTGTATTATCATTGCACATCTGTGGCCCCCGCAAACCTTTACTCTAAGCCCTAAGCCCATTACTGCCCCATGTTGCATCGGGTTTTCTGTCAAGTCCATACCGTCTACAGGGGTTTATCAGGGTTTGCAGGGCTTGCTGAAGCTTTTGAGTAGGCCTATTTAGGGCTTTAGCAGTTTGTAGAACGGTTTCAGAGGGTGTCATAGGTTTTCGTGAGGGTTCCTCTTATAGATATAGCATCATGAAGTCTAGAGGGTTTCATCGGGCTTTCGTGAGGCTTCCTCTTACAAATGAACAAGATCATAAACCCTAAAATCCTAAACCCTAAACCCTAAACCCTAAACCCTAAACCCTAAACCCTAAACCGTTCTGGTTATTATTGCCCCTATGCAGCTTCAAGCCCCAAAGCGCACGCTTAAAGCGCTAAGCCCCAAGCCCGAAAGCCCCAAATCTTATACCTTGGGGTTTAGGGTTTAGGGTTTAGGGTTTAGGGTTTAGGGTTTAGGGTTTAGGGTTTAGGGGTACGACCTCAAGCCCTGCAGTGCCAACTTCTACACCCATTTTCGGGTGCCCCAGCGCCACCAAGTTTTGCCCTAAACCCTCCAGCTTCCCGAGCAGCCTCAAGTCCCCACCGACAGCTTGAAGCTTAGGGTTTAGGGTTTAGGGTTTAGGGTTTAGGGTTTAGGGTTTAGGGTTTAGGGTTTAGGGTTTAGGGTTTAGGGTACCTTGAAGATCAAAGCCCGTAGACCTTGAAATAGCATCGTCGCTTGATAACCCTAAACCCTAAACCCTAAACCCTAAACCCTAAACCCTAAACCCTAAAGCCCTAAAGCCCTAAAAGTCAGGTGGATGCCATGACCAAGTCCATGGAGGCCAGGTGTGTTGGGTTTGAAGATCGGGGTTCAGGGTTTTGCTTGGAGGGTCAGGGGACTTAGTAAGTGGGTAATAGGTAGACTTGTAAGTACCTTAAAAAGGGATCCTAATTGGGGTTATGATACTTATAACTCTATAACAAAGCTGCTTACTAAGTCCCCCGACCCTCCAAGTAAAGATCGGGGTTCAGGGTTTTGGTGCGCGTCACAGTGCCACGGCGTGCTAAAACCATGGAGTGGTCTTGGGTCGCGCCGTCTTCGTACCGTGACCTACCCACAACCACCCGAAGCAGGACCTAAACGGGTTTTGTGTTCTGCTTCACGTAATGTAGCGGCCTTAACAATTAGCACAGGGTTTTTTTGGACACCCTATTGAAATTATTGAGGCCCCTATGTTAAACCCTCCATACCCTGGCCCAAAATCCTAGAATCCTTAACTTAAACCCCCCCTTCCTAGAATCCTTAACTTAAACCCCCTTCCTAGAATCCTTAACTTAAACCACCCTTCCTAGAATCCTTAACTTAAACCCCCCCTTCCTAGAATCCTTAACTTAAACCCCCCTTCCTAGAATCCTTAACTTAAACCCCCCTTCCTAGAATCCTTAACTTAAACTCCTAAACCCTAAACCCTAAATCCTAAACCCTAAACCCTATGTACCCGCTGCCCAAGCCATTTTGCAAGGGAGCTCCTCTCCGGCCAGAGTCGTCTGGCTTTTTTGCCACAGCGGTGCGTTTAGGGTTTAGGGTTTAGGGTCAGCGGAGTCGCCATGCCTGCCGTCCCTGTGGCCTCACGTTATACTCGTAATTACCTGTAGACGTCGTCTGGCTCACTTCTTCCTGCAGCAAACCAGTAGCCCATAATTGAACGTTGTGGCTTGACTGCACTACTCGTAGCTATTTGAACCCCCACTTGAATTCTGTAACGGACCTCTTGAGGTATACCCTAAACCCTAAACCCTAAACCAAAACCCTAAACCCTAAACTCTAAACCCTAAACCCATAGCCCCAAACCCTGAAAGCCAAAATCTCAAACCCACATAAGCCTCAGAATCGTAACAACCAGAACTCTGCAACCCCGCGCCCCGCCTCCCCCTCCCAAATCCCCACCACATCGCCAAACTTTCAGCGTGCCCGACAGCCTTGAACCCCAGACCCTAAACTTAAAACCTACAAACCCCTGGACCTAAAACCAGAAACAAGACCCTAAACTTTAAACCCCTTGACCCTGAACCCCGAATCCCCCGAAGCCCTAAACCCAAAGCCCTGAACCGTTTTTCTTTTTTAAGTCCCGCGGGCAGGCGCGCATCGCCGAGAACGAGGCCAACGGCAGCCCTAAAAAGGCCCACGAGCTGATGACCGAGGCAGCTTGAGACGTTTAGGGTTTAGGGTTTAGGGTTTAGGGTTGAGGGTTGAGGGTTTAGGGTTTAGGGTTTAGGGTTTAGGGTTTAGGGTTTAGGGTTTAGGGACCCGTGGTCTCTTTGTAGGGGCCTCGGTGGCCCCTTTAAGGGACAAGCTCAAGGCGCTACTAGGATCATGGTTTGCGGGTTAACTCTTCGGATTTAGGGTTGAGGGTCTTTGTAACAATGGAAACATCATGAAGGAAACCATGTTGTTGTTATGCCCGAAGTATGATGTCATGTAGAGCTCTTCATACTGCGGTCTAGGGCAAGTCTAAATCCCAAACCCCAATCACGAAGCCCCAAGCCCTGAACCTTAACCCCCGAACCCCAAACCCAAAACCCGCAAAACAGGATGAACACGTGAAGCAGAGTATGATTATCTACAACAAGATGGTTTTGGTCTTCAACCGCCTCTTCCATGAGGAGAAGCGCCTCAGCCCAGATGAGCTTTGACGGTTTGGGGTTTGGCGGTTTTGCGTTTAGGATTGTAAGGTCTAGGGTTCAGGGGTTTAGGGTTTGGGGGTTCAGGGTTTAGAGTTCAGGGGACGATACAATTTAGATTTTGGGCTTATTGGTGCCTTTTCTGCTAGGATCCATGGCATTTCCCGGTGGTGCAACGGAAGGGTTCTTGTTTAAAGGTGCAAGGGTCTGTGGCGTAGGAAGTTGACGAGAAACCGCCGCTCGGCGTTTGCAAGCATTCGCAAAGCCTTCGCAAGCGTTCGCGAATGTCGCACAGTGGCAAGCCAAGTTCTTCGTGCGAATCCCGTCAGCCCCTTGTAACGTAGGTAGATCTGTCTCTGTCTATGTCTATCCATATCTATATCTTTCTATCTGTCTGCCTGCCTGTCTACCTACGTATCTACCTGTCTGTCTGTGAGTCTGTCAGTGCATCAGTCTGTCAGTCTGTCAGTCTGTCAGCCTGTCACTCTGTCCGTCTGCCAGTCAGTCAGTCAGTCAGTCAGTCAGTCAGTCAGTCAGTCAGTCAGTCAGTCTATCTGTCTTTGTGCCTGTCTATGTGTCTATCTGTTTGTCTGTCCATCTATCTCTCTCTCTCTCTCTATCTGGGTAGTTGTCTAAGGGTGCCGTACTATAATGGGGACCTAGAAAGGGACCCTAATTTAGAGAACTACCCATGAAGAGGGTCCAAAGATACTACCACTGTGGAATTCGACCCCAAAAGACCATTCTTCTCGTGGTCTTGGGGGACTTTTCTGGGTTATAAGCATAGTTACCCTACTTGTAATCCTACTTATAACNNTAACTACCCATGAACCTCCAGGTAGTCCCGTGATTCTTTCAGTACGGGTGCCAGATCAACAACGAAGCCAAGGCAGTTCTTCGAAATGGTCAACGAGAGCAACAAGGAGATCAGCGCACCCTGGGTTGCACGTTTTTTTTTTTTTTTTGGGGGGG